CCCATCAGGAAGTCCAGGATCCGGTTGCAGAGGGAGGTGTTCAGTCCCAGGGTCCTTAGCTTAGTGATGAGTTTTGAGGGCACTACGTTGTAGTCAATGAACAGCATTCTCACATAGGTGTTCCTCTTGTCCAGGTGGGAAAGGGCAGTGTGGAGTGCAATAGAGATTGAGTCATCTGTGGATCTGTTGGGCGGTATGCGAATTGGAGTGGGTCCAGGGTGTCTGGGATGATGTTGTTGATGTGAGCCATGACCAGCCTTTCACAGCATTTCATGGCTACAGATGTGAGTGCTACGAGGCGATAGTCATTTAGACAGGTTACCTTAGTGTTCTTGGGCACAGGGACTATGGTGTCATTCAGTGACATGGAAAAATGTACAGTCCTTGATTGCACCAATCTTCTCCAAAAACAGGTAGCATTTAGGAGAAAGGAATAGATGGAGTGAATTCAGACGGTCATTTGACAGTCTGCAGTATGTCTTATCTGTAGATGTATGGAAAAATGGTTAGTTTTACATTAAGATAATATGTGGTGTCATAAGTTACATAAACCAATGATGTATGATGATTTGCAAACTGTTTACTAATGACTGTTTGATAATGATTTATAATCAGTTAACAAGTGTTAATTTCAGTTCTGTTGGCCTGTCTGTGCTAGGATGGTCTATCTTCTGTGACAAGTAGCTGAGGGTTATTAGCACCGACGTGTTAGGCCATTACACTGTTTGCTGCCAGTTGGACTCATTGAGGTGTTTGCGTGCAGTGTGTGTGTGTGTGAGAGAGAGAGAGCGAGAGAGAGAGAAAGAGAAGCACAGAGTATTGGTTATTACTTCGGGAGTATAATTGTGATGATGTAGGTAGTCTGTCATATCTCATGATATTGTGACGTTCATCATAATATTGTAACAGCCCCTCTACACGAAACTACCGCATAATAACAGAGTGACAGACAGCCCCTCTACACCAAACTACCTCATAATAACAGAATGACAGACAGCCCCTCTACACCAAACTACCTCATAATAACAGAGTGACAGACAGCCCCTCTACACCAAACTACCTCATAATAACAGAGTGACAGACAGCCCCTCTACACCAAACTACCTCATAATAACAGAATGACAGACAGCCCCTCTACACCAAACTACCTCATAATAACAGAATGACAGACAGCCCCTCTACACCAAACTACCTCATAATAACAGAGTGACAGACAGCCCCTCTACACCAAACTACCTCATAATAACAGAGTGACAGACAGCCCCTCTACACCAAACTACCTCATAATAACAGAATGACAGACAGCCCCTCTACACCAAACTACCTCATAATAACAGAGTGACAGACAGCCCCTCTACACCAAACTACCTCATAATAACAGAGTGACAGACAGCCCCTCTACACCAAACAACCTCATAATAACAGAGTGACAGACAGCCCCTCTACACCAAACAACCTCATAATAACAGAGTGACAGACAGCCCCTCTACACCAAACTACCTCATAATAACAGAATGACAGACAGCCCCTCTACACCAAACTACCTCATAATAACAGAGTGACAGACAGCCCCTCTACACCAAACTACCTCATAATAACAGAGTGACAGACAGCCCCTCTACACCAAACGACCTCATAATAACAGAATGACAGACAGCCCCTCTACACCAAACTACCTCATAATAACAGAGTGACAGACAGCCCCTCTACACCAAACAACCTCATAATAACAGAGTGACAGACAGCCCCTCTACACCAAACTACCTCATAACAGTGTGTTTGAGGTGATGTAATCCTGACAACAGGCACAAGGTTCTCCCTTTTTGAATTGAGGTGCTTACCTAAAAATAGTTAGTTCATTTATTTTCTTAATTGCTTTGAGTCACACACACGCAAAGACTTTGATTTGCAGAACTCTGACAACCTGTAATCTCCTTTAATCCTTTCATTCTGTTTGTGTTTTCTCCCCTGTTTGGGAGAAGGTAAATGCAAACAGGAATTCTGGAATACAAGAAAAACACACAGCCGAAGGCTGAGAAAACAAGAGAGGGGATTTTTCAAGAGAGAGGAGGGACAGCCCGCTGTTGTATCAGTTTTGGAGGGAATGTGTTTTGTGTGTGTGTGTGTACGTTTTGGAGCGAAAGCGGGGGGAAAAGAATGTGTATATGAGGGAAATAAAGGGAGTGTGTGTGATTACTGTGTATTTTCCCCCACACACTAGTCAGTTGACAGAGGGAGGGGTCTTCTCAATCAGTCCATGTCACAGGGATGAGCTGCGGTAATCGGACTGGAAATAACCCTGTCTTCTCTGTGGGTTCATCGTACCCATGAAGTGTGTATTCATGTCTGTGTGTTTGTGCCTGGGACTGTGGCTTTGTATGTCTACAATACAGTGAGCTCCAAAAGTATTGGGACAGTGAATTGTTATTTTTATTTGGCTCTGTACTCCAGCACTTTGGATTTGAAATGATACAAAGATACAATTTGTCCCAATACTTTTTGTCACCTAAAATGGACTATGTACAAAAAGTGCTGTAATTTCTAAACGGTTAACCTGATATGGATAAAATGTCCCCTCAAATTAAAGCTCATAGTCATTGTATCATTTCAAATCCAAAGTGCTGGAGTACAGAGCCAAAACAACAACAAATGTGTTCACTGTTCCAATACTTTTTTGGAGCTCACTGTATATATCTATATATATCAGTTGAAGTCGGAAGTTTACATATACTTAGGTTGGAGTCATTAAAACTCGTTTTTCAACCACTCCACACATTTCTTGTTAACAAACTATAGTTTTGGCAAGTCGGTTAGGACATCTACTTTGTGCATGACACAAGTAATTCTTCCAACAATTGTTTACAGACAGATTATTTCACTTAATTGACTGTGCCTTTAAACAGCTTGGAAAATTCCAGAAAATGATATAATAATAATAATAATAATATGCCATTTAGCAGACGCTTTTATCCAAAGCGACTTACAGTCATGCGTGCATATATTTTTTTTGTGTATGGGTGGTCCCGGGGATCGAACCCACTACCTTGGCGTTACAAGCGCCGTGCTCTACCAGCTGAGCTACAGAGGACCACTGATGTCATGGCTATAGAAGCTTCTGATAGGCTAATTGACATAATTTGAGTCAATTGGTGGTGTACCTGTGGATGTATTTCAAGGCCTACCTTCAAACTCAGTGCCTCTTTGCTTGACATCATGGGAAAATCTAAAGAAATCAGCCAAGACCTCAGAAAAGAAATTGTAGACCTCCACAAGTCTGGTTCATCCTTGGGAGCAATTTCCAAACGCCTGAAGGTACCACGTTCATCTGTACAAACAATAGTACGCAAGTATAAACACCATGGGACCACGCAGCCGTCATACCACTCAGGAAGGAGACGCGTTCTGTCTCCTAGAGATGAACGTACTTTGGTGCGAAAAGTGCAAATAAATCCCAGAACAACAGCAAAGGACATTGTGAAGATGCTGGAGGCAACGGGTACAAAAGTATCTATGTCCACAGTAAAACGAGTCCTATATCGACATAACCTGAAAGGCCGCTCAGCAAGGAAGAAGCCACTGCTCCAAAACCGCCATAAAAAAGCCAGACTACGGTTTGCAACTGCACATGGGGACAAAGATCGTACTTTTTGGAGAAATGTCCTCTGGTCTGATGAAACAAAAATAGAACTGTTTGGCCATAATGACCATCGTTATGTTTGGAGGAAAAAGGTGAACGCTTGCAAGCCGAAGAACACCATCCCAACCGTGAAGCACGGGGGTGGCAGCATCATGCTGTGGGGGTGCTTTGCTGCAGGAGGGACTGGTGCACTTCACAAAATAGATGGCATCATGAGGAAGGAAAATTATGTGGATATATTCAAGCAACATCTCAAGACATCAGTCAGGAAGTTAAAGCTTGGTCGCAAATGGGTCTTCCAAATGGACAATGACCCCAAGCATACTTTCAAAGTTGTGGCAAAATGGCTTAAGGACAACGAAGTCAAGGTATTGGAGTGGCCATCACAAAGCCCTGACCTCAATCCTATAGAGAATTTGTGGGCAGAACTGAAAAAGTGTGTGCGAGCAAGGAGGCCTACAAACCTGACTCAGTTACACCAGCTCTGTCAGGAGGAATGGGCCAAAATTCACCCAATTTATTGTGGGAAGCTTGTGGAAGGCTACCCAAAACGTTTGACCCAAGTTAAACAATTTAAAGGCAATGCTACCAAATACTAATTGAGTGTATGTAAACTTCTGACCCACTGGGAATGTGATGAAAGAAATAAAAGTTGAAATAAATCATTCTCTCTACTATTCTGACATTTCACATTCTTAAAATAAAGTGGTGATCCTAACTGACCTAAAACAGGGAATGTTTACTAGGATTAAATGTCAGGAATTGTGAAAAACTGAGTTTAAATGTATTTGGCTAAGGTGTATGTAAACTTCCGACTTCAACTGTATGTATATACTGAACTTTGTGAAAGTGTGTTTCTGTTTATAGTTTAAATGTGTATGTATGCATATCCTGTAAATGTGTGTTTGTGTGTGGATTAAGTCTTGTATTCCACAAATTTGTGTGTGGATTAAGTGTGTGTTCTGTGTTTGTGTCCTGTAAGTGTGTGTGTGTTCTCCTGTGTGGGCTGTCTGGCGGTGTGTTGCGTGCCTGCCTGTCCACATGGTTCTCATTAGAGTCTATGGGATGTTTGTTTTCTCTATTAGTCCCTGTTTCTCCATTATAAACGGCTCCTTCAAAACTGCCCCATAAACAGCCTGTACACTCTGCTCTGCCTGGTCCAACAGACACAACAAGGACTGCACGCATATACTGTGCGTCTGTATGTGTGTTTTATGCGTGTGTCTGTATGTGGTATGTGTGTGTTGAGGTTCCATTGTATACCATTACATCTCTCTTTCTGCTTCAAACCTGTAGATGTGTGTAGAATATATACAGTTTGTGTGTGTTGAGTTTAACCCCCTCTTTCTCTTGCCCTCACCAGGCGACACGTGCCACCCTGACAGCCCACTGTACGTCTCTGGGTGACTCTCTGGGGAAGGAGAATGAGTTGGCTCTGATCATCGATGGACAGACCCTGAAATACGCCCTCTCCTTCGAGCTCCGCCAAGCCTTCCTAGACCTCGCCCTGTCCTGCAAGGCCGTCATCTGCTGCAGGTGAGAAATACATGCACACGTGCAAACACACACCCTGTTCTGCAACTGCTTCAGGTCACACACACACACACACACACACACACACACACACAGGAAGCATGGAGAGTGTAGTACTGTGTGTTAGGGTGTGCTTGGTACTTAATGTATGTGCTGCCTCTAAAGGATCTGGTTGTGAGTTAAAGGTTGCAGGTTGCCAAGGGTTAGTAAATAACTGTAGATGATAAAGGCTTGGCATGCAGATCAGAGGGTTAGGGTTAAAGGTTGCAGGTTGCCCAGGGTTACAGTAGTAAATAACTGTAGATGATAAAAGCTTGGTATGGCGCTCAGAGGGGTTAATGTAATACACCGCACCGCATGGAAATGTCAAAGTCATGGCTCACTTATCGCTATTATCACACACACACACACACACACACACACACACACACACACACACACACACACACACACAAGTAACTGACTCGCTGTAGCATAAAAGCCATATCCGGACTCGGGTCTCCAAGGCCTTACAAAATGCCTCCAGCACCCCCTCCTCCCTCCCTCCCTCCCCTGTCCTAGATCCCCCTCTTTCTTCCTGTCTTCCGCCTGATCCCCCCCGGCCCACTCATGGCAGAGGTGACTGTGATCCTCTCCTCCTGGTGTGTGTGTTGTTTGTAAGGGGTGGTGGGTTCAGGCAGGGCTCTATGCTTGGGTTCCTGACTTCACACTGTTTAAACAGCCACTTTAAACTCCTAATTTTGTCTTCAACTCCACCATGATGAACATTTAGCCTCTTTCATCTACCCTGAGCCGCTATTCTCAAACGCTTTTTTGTGTGGGGGGGACATTGAAGGATTTTTTGTTGAGTCACTGTATTTATACTATAGTGTCCTAAACCCTCCTTCTGTCTCTCATGCAGACAGACACGCAGACTGACACGCAGTCTGACACAGACACTCAGACAGACAGACAGACAGACAGACCTCAGAGAGCAGAGGCTCATCTCTCAACATCAGCTTCTCCAGCCAAGTCTCTCTCTGAGGGTTTCCCCTTGGAAAGTGTGTGTGTGTGTGTGTGTGTGTGTGTGTGTGTGTGTGTGAATGAATACTAAGCGGACCACCCAGCTCTGTGGTTTCAGCTTGACCGGGCCACGGTTCTGCTCAGAACACACAGACTATATTTATGACCCGTGGGCTTCCCGCTGGCCTGCCGCAGGTGTGTGTGTGTGTGTGTGTGTGTGTGTGAGAGTGATACAGAGAGAGGCTATATGCTTGTGTAGAGATTTGCTCCATACCCATCCAGGCCTGCTCCCTCTTGCCCAAGAAAGCGTGGTCCCTGTTGGGTCTTGAAATCACTGTGGGTCCTGGTCTGACTACAGGCCTACAAAACTGACATGCAGAGAGTAACAGGAGCCATGTTTTCCAAAGGCATACCGTCTCTTACATACACACACAATGTCTGTGAATTACCCCTAGACCCTGTCCCCTGGGCTCCTCATCTCATTGTTTGTGTAGACAGAGCCGGTTTAGGAGACAGACAGAGAGAGAGAGGCTGAGGGTTACAGGTTAAGAGGGTGGAGTACCTCAGGGGTCTGGTCAACACCCTCAACCAGCTATCACAATGACTGAATTGCGACATAAGTACATTAGTGGGAAGCAGTGCCCTAAACCACTGATACAGGGGCAGATATATTTACATCCACTTAATGGTTCAGGTTAGGAGCTGGGGCAGTAAAATCTAATCCTAGATCTGTGGTTAAGGCCAACTTTTACCTTGGGAATTGGCACTAAATAGAAGCCATTGTGGTTATATTTCCTGCTACCTAATGTAAACCACTGAACAGAAACCTAATGTTTATGTGTGTGAAGTCTGTCTGTTTCTCTGCCAACTGTCTTTAAATCTCCTTCTTTTGTTCTCTTCAACTCTTTTTCATTTCCAATCATTCTAATCTTTATGCGTT